CAAGTAATACACAGTTTTGTTAAGCAAAGAATATACTCATATTTGGAGTCATCATCGAGCTACAATACTTGTGAGTGGAGTCGAAGAAGCAAATAGTCAAGAATAAGGTTGTCCAACAATAGTTTTCCGAGTTGACATTGATTGTCCGATATTCGGTTTTGTGGAAAACGTTCATGCATGTGGAATTTGTTCGAGCCTTGAACACCCCACTGATACTTGTCCTGCACTTTGGCCTAAAGATATGATGGAGGTTAACACAACAAGTTACTTGGTGCCATGTCAAAATCACAATCTATACTCGAAGACATACAATCTTGATTGGTGTGATCATCCTAATATTAGCTACAAAAATAAGTAGCCTTATGTGGCAGTAGCACTAACATTCCGAGCACCTTCGCCTTAGAAACATAGAGCCCCACCGCCACCATGCAATCAAGGTATTTCATTATAAGATATAGTGAAAAATACGGAATTTGACGCTCTATAATTTCAGCAGGTTATCCAAAAATTCTAATGTTAGTAGCAAACTAAAAAAAACATTTAGAGCTTGAAAAATAAAATCTCTCAATTGTCGAATAAAGTTCGTAAGTTGAGGACGAAAGAGAAAGAAAAGTGGTCAGCACAATCCAAGACTAATTCAAATTATGTAAGTGCCATGGAGCTGAGGAGTGGAAAAAATAATGAAAGATAAAGAACATGTTATCTCGAACAAGAAAAATCAAGAAGAGTAGAAAATGAAAGACAAAAAAAGACATCGGTTGAAACAAATAAGGTAAAAAAAAAATAAAGAGTTTGATTTCTCATGATTTAAAATTCTTCATTTTCCTCACAAGTTGCAGAAGCCAAAGATACAAGAGAAAGAAAAAAAAAATCATGAAAATTTTCAAGTAGATTTAACATCCCACTGTTGGGAGCAATCAAGAAAGTGCCACAATATGCCAAAATTTTAAAAGATTTGTTCATCAATCGGAGAAGATTGAGAGGAGATAAACTTATTGTGGGTGGAAAAATTAATTTGGAAATTGCACAAAAAAAAATCCCGCCAAAGTGTGGTGAACCAGGTATGTTCTCAATCCTGTGTAAGATAGAAAAATCTGAAGTGAGAAAAGTAAAGTTAAACCTAGCCACTAGAATAAATTTTATGCCGAAAGAATGTAAATCTGTGAAATTAGGGCCATTAATGGAGACGAGAATAATAGTTCAGTTAGCTGATAGAACCAATCATTTGGATGGATTATTAAAGGATTTCCTTGCTCAAGTTAACGAATTAATATTTATGGCCTACTTTTATGTGTTACGTATGCATGACGCGAAAAACATTAACCATTCCCCTTGTTTGTTGTGCCAACCTTTTCTGAGCACCATTCAAACAAAAATAGATGTGAAACAAGGCACATTGATAATAGAATTTGATGACAGTAAAATCCATTCAATATATTGAATAATGTGCTTGTTGGTTCTAACACTATTTGTGTAATTAGTGTTCTTGAGTCTTCAATACAAGATCTTTTTAACCTAAATTGTAAAACTCATGACATAAGATCAAAGCCACAGAATTTATTGGATCATAACCATTTGAGGGTTGATAAAAAATTTCTTGAAATATTTTCTATTAATAATCATCGACTCAAGCAAGATAGAAATAAAAAAAATAAAAAAATACACCAAATTGAGTTGCCAAATACAATATTTGGAGATGTCACCAAACGACTAACAAACATTACATCTAGACAAAAATATAAAATAAAGACGTTAATAGGGAGGTAACTTAATATTTATACTTTGCTTATTTTTATTTGCATAATTTTCTTTAAATTTTTGTTGATCTAGTGAAGTTTTTCTTCTGAAGGTATCCCTGTCAAAATCACTATGATTGAGTCAGCATGGGCCACATTCTTAAACATAAGTTGAAAATTTTGAGTTTTGGGGACCGAAGCTATATCGAACCTTGGTTGTGCTCATGACTAAGTGATCATTCACATTATTCCAGGTGGATTAAGTTCTAGAATAAAATTCATTTATGAGTCATGCCCATGACTAAGTGCAACCTTACATTCTGTTTGAAAAATAATAAGAATTCGTGATGCCTTCGACTCTATTGGATTAAGCATGCTTTTAGTGTCGTCTCCAGATCTGTCCACTTGATCGTCCCTAGGGAAGTCCTATTCCAATTCTTTTTTGTTATTTTGTTTGTTTCACATTAAGGATAATATGTTAATTAAGTATGGGGAGAACTACTAGCGCAATTTTTTTTTTTTTTTTGACTTTTTGATGCACCTACAGTTGGATCATTTTGTTGGTATGATATATGTGATTTTGTTTTGAGTGGATGTCTAAGATGATCAATGACGAAACTAGACTAGGAAGATGTGAAGATTGACTTAACTTTTACGTCCTATGTGAAAATTTGAGCCTAATGATTTTAATCACAATGCTTATTTTTGTGTCATTCAGTGATGCATCTTAAACCCATATACAAAGTCTTGACGTATTTAAGAAGATATGAACGCTAGATAAACTCTTTTGGCCTATATTTCCTATGTATCATGAATAAATTTTTTGTCCATTGGTACCATTATAACCTATGTTTCTTTTGATGTCATTAGTCTCATTAAGCCAAAGGCCTCTTTTTTTGTTCGAAACTCAACATTTGCATACCTTATAGCAATAGGAGATTATGTTTGGAACATTGCATACTACTACTTGTTTGGAGATTGAAGGAGTGCAAAAATAATCTTGAACATAAAAAAATAAGAAAAGAAGTTTGCCTTCAAAAAATTCAGAAAAAAAAAATCAACAAAATCAAAGCAAAAAAATGAGAGAAAGATTTAATAATAATAATAATAATAATAATAATAATAATAATAATAATAATAATAATTCAAAAGAGTGAGAAATAGAGACCGAAGTTAGTTGATGGATGAAAAGAAAGTTGTAGTATTTGTGCATGAAATGATCACAATGTCTTGTATGCATTGCTTCTTGCATTATTTTCCTTTTAGTCATTTTAAACGGAAAAAACAAAAAACAAAAAAAATCATTTTTCCTATTCTAAACTCTAGCCCTATTACAATTAATAGAGACCTTTTAATTATTTGTGTTATGTTTCATTTTAGCAGGGGAGGTATGATGTAAGAACAAGTAGTGAAGCTTTTATTTTTATGCAATTTGAGTGATATAGCATAATTACTTATTGAAAGACGAGTGCATACACTATACATTCCTTAAATTTGGAGAGGATCGCTATTCCCAATAGATTTTTATTTTGGTGAAGTTGTTGTTAAGAATGTTTATGTAATAATAGAATTTCTTAAGTGCGGGGAATTTGATAGGTTATAATTTGCATGCACTTTTACTACTTATATATTGATACTTTGAATGAATTTATATCAATTATCTGTTATTTTGGGTAAAATTCAAGGCGAATATGCAACGAAAGACCTAAGCAAAAATAGAGGAAAAAGTGTTGCTCAGTCATGCCCAAAGGTAAAGAAAGCCAAACTGTTTGGAATTGCAATTTGAACTTTAGAAATTTCAATTGGATTACTCATCCAATTTGAAAAGAACTATTTTATTCTCAGAACATCTTAAATCAAGTCCACTAGATCCTAGAAGCCCTAATTATGTGGAGGAATTATCCAATGCAACCAAACTCTATTCTTTATGAAGAAAGACAAAAACAAAAAAAAAACAAAAAAAAACAAAAAAGTGGGCTAGGCCAAGAAGGAGAAAGATTTGATGTCCGAAATAAAAAAAAAAAAAGAAAAAAAGGGTTTGGCGAGAGAAGAATTTCATGGTGGGTGGATTGGCGAGAAAAAATCTTGAAGGCAACATTATGAGATCAGATTCTTGAAGGAAAATTAAGTGCCGACATCGTCTGACAGGAAAAAAATTCACTGTAGATGTAGTTCTATCTTTCTTCGTTGTTCTTTTCATTTTCTTTAGAATTAACTAAATTTTCTATCTAGTCTAATGATCGATTGATGATTTGAACACCTTGGTTTTGTGAGTTTGACTCTTTAATTGCTAATCTCTTTTACATTTGTTGGTATTCGTAAAATTTTGTGTAGTGTGTTTTGATTTATTTTCTTGATTGGCAAGATAATTATGTTAAGTTAATAACTCATAATCAATTGAATGATTAAACCTGTAATTGTATGATTATTCGATCTAATAACAATAAGATCTTACAAGCTATTTTAAAAATTTACAATATGATTTCGATAATCCTACATAGGATTTAGAAAATCATAATTGGACTTTTCTAGGGTTTAATGCAATTGAGAAATCCAAAAATTGTGGATGTACCCAATTTTTTTACTACAATTAGAAATTATTTAATGATCATACATTAAATAACGATTCATTAAAAAAAATTGGGAGTTTGGTGCATGTCAAATTCTATAATTAACTTATCAAATGATTTAATAGGAAAAAATATGCAATAATTAGGCTATGCATTTTTATTACTCTTATTTGACATTTTTTAATTCATTATTTTTTCATAGTTCGCATTACTTTTGATTTTAGTTTAGGATTAGATTTAAAATTCAAAAAAATCCCCCCTTCATTTTTTGTTTTCACCGCGTAGAAAAAAAATAAGTCAATTGATCTCTGTGGAGACGATCTACTTGCTATACTCACTACAAAAAAAAATGACCATTTATAGCGGAATCTTATCCGCTACAATTTTTTGGTTACAAAAGTTATTTTTTGTTTCAAATATTTCCGTAACAAATTGTCTTTTTTGGTTTAGTCAACCTTTTTCTTTTGTTGCGATATTTTTTTCGTTACAACTACAATAATTTTAATTTAAATTTAAAATTAAATCTAAAATAATCTAAAATAATATATCATATATACATATATAATACTTATATATATTAATATATACAGATTAATTTTTTTTAAAAAAAATATTTATTTAAAATTAAAACTATTTATACAATTATATACATATATAATATTTTTAACTTCTAAATCTATCCCTAAATCTAATTTCAAAATTCCTCCCCCGTACGCACAGAACGACTACGACCGACGCCGCCGCACAAATTCTTTTCATCGACCGCATGCCGCCTGCACACAGCCACCGCCGGCAAGAAGGTTTCGCACGCTATGGTGAATTGAGTTCGTGGTAATTTTTTTATTATTCCTAAATCGAGAATCAATCTTTCTCCTATTTAGGTTTGATTTTTTTTAGTATCGAATATGTCGACGGAAGAAGAGGAGAACCCAACGGACCTTCAAATCCCCGATGGTACTTCTTTTCTTATTTGATTTTTGAAGGTTTTGGAATTAATGTTATTGTGGACTCTGGGTTTTTTCTGCTCGTTTGTGCTTTTCTTCAATAATTAAATAACTGTGCATAGCTTTTGTGTATGATTGGTTTTGATCTCGGCGTGGTGAATGGTGACCCCTAATGAAATATGTCTTCATTCAATTATTTTTGTAGCTTTCTTTGTGGTTTTTACATTGTAAAATTTAACCCTAGGAGTAGAGATGACACAAGAAAAGAATACTATTTGGTTAAGGTGTCGACAAAGTTTGAATCAATGACGGAAAGGTCTAGCTGTGACTATCATACAATACCAATTAGACCAATTCGGCAACTTAATGATGCGAAACTCTTCAATTCAATCATTTGATTCTTTATGCTACTCAAAGTTGTATAAATTGATTAAGGTTGCTTTTAGGCGAATCTTAATCAACCATTGTAGTAATTTTCTTTTTCTTCAAATTATTGTCCCAAACTCAATTGCAAAATTTGTCCATTACTGTTTTCTTTTTCTCTAGTGACATTTAGATAAGATAATAATAAGAACTGGAAAATGCTGCAAAGTTCACTTAAATCTTAGCAATTTATTAATTAATCCACTTTCTTTTATTTTTATAATCCAAATGAGATTCTTATTCAATACCAATTTCATAATTAGATCCATGAATTTAATCCCAGGAACTATCAATGGTTTTCCACATAGATTTATTATTGTAATAACTTATAGTGTTGTTTGTTGCCTTTTTTTTTTCTACTGATTTTTTTATCTTCTTGTCTGAGTGAGATCAGACTGTTGACGTCCACGTATAGCTAATATATATGTATGATCTTCCTTATTTCACTTTAAGTTCTTGGACTTTAATCTAATTTATATGACCTTTAAATATATATGTATTAAGTGGGTTTGTTGAAACTTAACCAAACAAACAGTCTTGTCCAGGAAACATAGGTCATTGAACTATAGCCACTCACTCCGGTTATTGTTATTTGTTACTCATCCACATATCTATCTTATCTTTGAATTGAGCTTATTAATTAATTTGTTTTCACATGATTAAATACACTGATATGCACACATGTGAATTGTGATAATCTATCTGCATTTGTATTTGTAATTATTGTTTATTTGTTTGTGCATCTTTATCCATGCACCACCACTTTATTTGATGTTGAGTTATAGCAATTGTGGTTACTCCTCAATGTAATTATCATGGTTATCTATCTATCTATTTATCATATATCGAATTGTTTAATAATAATAATACATATATTACTTACTATTTTTCTGGTGCTATCACAGTGCCAGCTCACTATTCTTCAATAATACTTACTAATAGCTTATAGATACGTATATATAAATTAATGAATGAACAAGAGAGGAGAAATAAGAATAAAATATTAATATTACAAGTCATGTTGTTGGATCTTTTTCATTGTATCTTAATCTTGAGATCCAAGCAAGTTCAACTGCAAATGCCAGTGCAAGTGTTTCATTGTGTATATATAATAATGATAATATCTGTCAAGGAGGATGAATGTCAAGTGAGTGAGTGAATCAGTCATAGTGTTGCTAAGAGTAGTTAGAAATTCTCACAGAATGAATAATAATGTAGAGTTTTTTACAATTAATCGAATGAATTATTGATTGATGTTGATAGTCATATCTAGTCTAGTCTTGTCTTATCTTCAAGGTAAATTTCTTGTGCATATTTAAGTTCACTGCATACATCCGATGCTGCAAACAAGTTGCGTAATTTAATCATTATACTAATGTCTTTCATGCCTGCATGGTTTAGTCAGGCCAAATTTGTTTGATGTTTTTATTCCAGGTTGTGTATGGCTATTATAGTAAAATATATATATATATAAATTATTGTGCTCTAGTTATGTCATCAGAACATTCCTTTAAAGTACATTGGCTCCACATTTTTAGAATCAAATCGTAGATTTTTTGCTTCTTTAAATATTTTTGTTTTTAGCTAATCAAAAGTACTTTCCATGAATAAGAGAGAAATTGAAGTTCGTAATCTATTTAGGTGATTCTGCGTAATGTTGTGCAAAAGTGTATCATTTTATCTTGTGATCATTGTTTTCTCAACCATGGTGTTGTATGTTTATTTAAGTGTTATCTCATCAAAATAATAGAACATCGTTGTTACAAAAGGTTTAATGAAGAATCTGATCAAAGTTTCAAATAAGACTGATGTTAGATGCTTTGTTTACTGCATCAATAGTTACAGAAATTGAGCTCTGAATGTTTTTGCTCCGCTTAAACAAATTTCAGGTGTTGGTTGAAGGTGGAGTTAATTCGAGAACCTCAATTCTGAATATGCCACATTATCTTAATGCTCTTAACAACGCCATGGTGGTGATATTGTGTCCATCTATAATATGCTGAAAGAAGGTAGAATTATAATTTTCTTGTCTATTATATGGGTACACACAACCCTGTATGGACATATATAATACATGTTACAATGAAAACCATTGCATCACTGTCTCTTTGACATTTCTATGGTCCATCTCTGGAAGTTAAGTCGTACATGTTTGTCTAGAGTACCCATCATCACTCATTGCTCCACTTACTTCTCATGTTTTTGGTTTATTCAGTATTGCGATTTTGTTTTATAGCTGGATTTTTCAGCTAATGAATGTGTCTGTGTGGTTTCTCCTATATGCATTATAGTCAAGGGCTTCATTTCGGTAGGATGTAGTTAATTTTGGTTAACTGTTTTATGTCAACACTTTTGGGTTTGATAATAAAGAGAGGTCATAACTTCTAAATGAGAATAATTTTGCTGCATTTTTGTCTGTTGTCCATGCCTCTTCTCTTATTCATCCCATCAATTTGTAAAAAATATTATAGGTTATGTTTTCGATTCATGTAGGGAATCTAGAAACTTGCAAGCATTTTCTCTAGAGAATATATAGTTTTATATACTTTATTGGTATTTATTTGAAGCCAGATGTGAGTATCTTTTAGCTCATGATTGTTTTGTATATTCATTAATCCTGCAGTATCGATCATTCTCTATAAGATTGTGAAATTTTGTGAGTTGCATTTTTTTCCGATGATATGCACATGTTTTTATATATGTACGTAGGTGATACCATTGACATAGTGAAGGTTTTTGTCAGGGCTGCTACCGTTCCGAACGCTCATTCTACGAACGATATCTGTAGCGCAAACACTAAGGTTGTCCACGTCAAGCCAATCAAATGGACATTCAAGGATGTAAGTAACTATTTTTGTAACTTCTATTAGATTGTAACTCAACCATCTCGAAAATAAATTCTTATATTTGCATTATGTTGGCAGCTTGTTCGACATCCGTAACTTCCGTATATGTTCACTTTCACGTTGCATGCGGCGATGCAGCATTGCACGTAATTATATAATGATTAACTTTTGTTTGAGGGTTGATACCGAATGAGTCATTTCTGTTGGTTGAACTTGCATATTCTGATTAGTTTTGTGTTTGTTGCAATGCTTTGCCCTTGGATTGTATATGTTTGGCCGAATTGCAAATAATTATGTTCCTAGACAATGTGCACTGGGTACACCTGATGGTGATATAGATTTTCTATAATAATTTTATATTTTGTAGTATTTTCTTGCATCGTACAGGTTTTTTGGCTCGATACTAACTTTTTTATTATCACTGAAAAAATAAGGATACTCTTTTTGTTGCGAAATTATGGCCGTTACAAATACCGGTATAAAAAATATGAATATCATTTAAAATAGTTTTCTGACAACCATCTTATTGTAACAAAAATTATATCGTAACAAAAGCCGTTACAAATGCATGAACATTTATTGTAACGATTCTTTTATTACGAGAAATGTCTGCTACAAATAAATCGAAAATACATTGCTTGCATTACATAAATTGTTACAAAAATTTTTCTCACGCGCGTTGACCGCCCACTTTTTGTTACGGAGAATGTCGGTACAGAGACTTTTTGTAACTCGAGTATATACATCGGTCATAATTCGGTACAAAATCGTTATAAATAACTTTTTATCACGGAGAATGCTTAAAGCCGCTACAAATGGTCATTTTTTTTTTGTAGTGACTACGATTGTCAATTAAAAAATAGAAATTTTAATTACACAACTAGAACAGACAATAAAGGAAAAAGTGGATGTGGTTATGCAATTTGTTAAGAAAGTACTATTGGTTATGTTGATACTTGAATTAAAACGAATATGAACTCTCAGATTTATGATTAAGACATTATTAGCTACCAAAGTTGTTGTCATTAGACATCGTTATGATCATGTGGACATCTCATACATTTATTAAATTGTACCTAATCACTTCTCTATTTATCTATCCATATAGACATTTTTTTTATGGTTACCATTGTTTACTGGCTACTAACCATATAGACATTTTTTTGTGGTATATGAAAAGACATGAATAGTGAATTTATATGTACACTTTTACAACTTAACCAACTATCTAATTTAATTATCTTAAGTGTAAAGATGGTGATTGATGAATGCAAGATATATGAATAAGTTAAATGAGAATAAAATAAGTACAACTAAATTACATTAGGAAACAATAATGTATCGAAGTAGATCTCTGCCACAAACGCCCCTTAAAGCATTTACACCGGGAATCTCCACTGCTGAGATCCCTTCTGTGACACTCTGGCCTACAAGCCACGCAACGTCGAGCATGTTGGGATTGTAGACTGATTTCAAAGATCAATACGAGTCCTTTTAGCATGCTCATGTCTTCATTTACATGCACCCTAGGAGACTTCCAGTGGGGCACCCATCCTCTAGGAGACTTCCAGTGGAGTACCCATCCTCAAATTACTTTAAGACAAATACGCTCAACTCTTGAGTTTTTTCAGTAAAGCTCTCCAAAAGAAATGTACACATTATTGACATAAGCAGACTATCAAATCTATTTAACTTCTAATCAACTTCAAATAGCCTAATACCGGCTCATCCACATACGGAAGTTGGCCTAAGAACAACCCAACTCCGGGTTATCACATCCTCCGTCTTCTCCATATAGGCAAAGTTTATTTAAAATAAAAAATAAAAATCTCTTAGGGGATGTCCATTTTTTAATTATATATATTAAAGTTATATTTAATTTTTTATATTTTTATATATTTATATTATATAAAATTTTATTTTTTCTAAAATATATATATCAATATATTTTTTATCTATATTTAATTATTAAAAAAAATAATTTTTTATATAAATATAAATATAAATATAAATATCTTATTTATTGTAATTGAGAAAAAAGAATATAAGGTGGAGAAAAGAAAATATAAAAAAAATGAAAAAATACTTTTATAAAGATTAGATCTTTGTTAAAAAGAAACTAAAAAAATAGAAATATACTTTTGTAAATAATTGTTTACAGTTTGAGTTTTGAAGAATCTATTATATATATCTTTTAAGAATAATTGTCGGATGTAATATTTTGTATGACAAGTTAATGTTGAGTATAAAGATTTTGTAGGATTGGATCCTAAGTCCTCGTAACACCAGCCCTTTCAAATCCACCATTCAAATTATACCACCTGTTTATTTATTTGTTTATTTTTTATATTATTGCAATTTAATAGTTTTTCCTTCTTGTAGTTCAAACTAGGTACATTAGACTCTAGTTCAAACTAGGTACATTAGACGAAACTATATAAAGGCTAGGGACAGCTGATCCCAATCCCTAAAATATAGAATTATTTTACCGTAAAAAATAATAAAATTATATATTTTTTTATTTTTTTATTTTTTTTATTTTTCAATTTTTTTATTATGTTATAATATAAAAAATAATAAAATTTTTGTAGGTTTGTTGATTTATACTTTTAAGTTTTAATTTTTTAGTAAAAATTATTAAATTTTATTAAATTTTCTTAAATATTTTTCTAAAAATTAAAATTTTAGCTATTTTTTATCTTCTTATTTATTTGATTCTATTGGGAAAATTGAAAAAAAAAACAATATTAAATAAAAAAATGAATTGACATTTTACAACCCTAAGTTTTAGTGTACATTTGCCTAACATTCAGTAGACCACTGCTAATAGGAAATAGGAGGGAGAATAAATATAACATTAGTTTTAGATATAGTTTTTGAAGTTCTATCTTATTTAGTCCATTTATTTCTTTAAAAATAAAATAAAATAAAATTTATATCCAATCTTAATTTATATTTACTTTTTTTTATTAGTATTTTATAATTTTTGTAAAAATATAATATTATTTTTCATAAAATATTACATTCAATACTATATAAAAATAAGCACAAAGTAAACTCTTAAAAAAAATCATATATACACATATTTTTTACAAAAAATTAAAATATATTTTAAAGGTCAATATTTTTATATTCTACTTTTTTTCAAAAATAATAATTACATATGATATTTTTAAAAAAATATATATAATTAAATAATGAAAAAAAATACTAGCTCCGTCCTATAACAAGGATATCATTTTTTTGTGTCATTATACTTAACATTTAATATCCTTACATTTATATGATTTACTCCATATATTACATTGTATTTGTATTATAAGAGACTAATAGAGATATTTTTATCGTTTTATATTTATTTGTACTAGATATTGAAATAATAATTAATATTTAAAAATCAATGGAAAAAATCCATAATACCTTCTTAAGGAATGAATGTAATAGAGTATATAATTTAAATAAATATTTATAAAAAAAAAGAATTAATAAATGTAATAACATTTTTTATATGATTAGCTTTTATTTTTAACAGATAAAATAATAATATATTCAATTTGAATTTTTATTATATTATTCTATAAATTTTAGAAATATATATTATTGGCGTAGATACTAATAAAGATAATATAAACTAAAAAAACTTTTTAAATATTTATTTATTTTTATATAATATTTAATTATTATACAAAATTTCAAGAGTTTCTTTTTTTTTTTTTAAGTATATCTTTAAAATATTATATAAAAAATAATATGTATTTTTTATGTAGTTTTGAATTTGGTATTTAGTATAAAGAATAATTTTTTTACAAAAAAATGTAAAAAACAAATGATAAAAAAAAATTAAATTTAGATATAGTATTTATTTTATATTTCAAAATTTTAAAAGAAGAAATGGATAAACAATAATCGAAATTACAAAAACTATATCTAAATTTAAGGGTGTGTATTCATTTAGGATTTTATTAGTTTTTAAAAAATTTGTGGATTTTTATGAATTTAGAAAATCCACAAAATCTAAGCAGAGTTTGGTGGATTTTATTTATTGATTTAAATGAATTTTTATAAATTTGATTGGAATGGTATTTGGAATTAAATTTCTTTGACCTTAAAAATATTTAGGTTCAATCACTCCTCATTTTGTACTTGCATTGCCCTCCCTACTTTTTATTTTCAATTACACTTGACTTCCCTGTTATTTGTATATAAACCTTCATTATCTAATTACATACTCCAAAACTATCTCTGTACTGAAAAAAAGTTAGAGCTATGTGCCTAGAATTTTTATTTATATATTGAAATCAGTTACATATATTTAAACTGAAAAACAAAACAAAATTCTAATAGAACCCACTATCCGAAGTCGTTGATGTTATATTTCTTTCAAACTCCTCCCCTCCCACGCTGCCTCTCGCCGTCGAAGCCCCCCGCCGAAATAATCGCTACTAAGCCTCCGCGCAGAAATCTTTGCTCCCGCTGGAACTCTCCTCTCACCGCCCAGAGATCCATACCCGCTCAAGATGTTGAAAAGACCTCCTCCCTGAAGCGGAGTTTGAAAAACCAAGTGAAAATTTATATTTTTTGTAGGATTGATTTTTTGAATTCATGGTGTGCTTGGATCTATTTTATTTGTGTCTCGGTTAGGTTTGTGCAAGCCTCAGTGATGGATCATTTTACTTTGACATTGTATCGTATCTTCGGGTCGAATATGAGTTATTTTAATGTTTTTGAAATTGTAAATGAGTTTGTTTTCTTTAAAAGTACTTTCATTTGAATTTTTATAGATTTACATTTATAGAAAAATGATTGAGATATGATGAATTTTTTCTTGTCGGGTGACTTTTTAAGTATTAAGATGTTGGATGATGTCTCTGACATGGTATTGGTTATAAATGTATCTATTTTGTCGATTAATAGAAATTTTGTTTGTTCTTTATATTGTTTGTGAGTGTCTTTCATTATTTTTGATGTGTATGGATTGTTAATTTATATATCTCAAATAGAAGATTACTTACTTTTGTAATTACGTGATAAACTTGTAGTTGTTTAGATATATTCATGAAGACATATCTTTGTTGTTGTGAAATGATGGCATACTCATAAAAGAATACAAAAGGCTTACCTCCAGATTCTCTATACATTTCTATCATACAAAGATTACTAAACTTAAAGTTGAGACGAATGATAAACAGATGAAAGTTTTACAACACACACCATTTGAGTATTTTCTAGATTACATGAAAAATACGCTACTTTGGCATCGGTTGTGGGCGACTGTGAATATGTTTGATATCAAGTCCCGGTCATTTAAAATTGGTGACGAAATTGAAATAAGGTTTTTTGCTGAAGAG